CATTGTGATCGGGTTGTCACCGAGCCGGTCTGAAACTGCCGTCACTCGGTGCTGATGTCCAGGTAATCGCCCGTGCCGTCGGATGGCTCATACTTCAGGACGTCAATTGTTTCTCTGAACCTTGCGTCTGCAAACGATTGATCGAGTGTGCATGCGCACAGGCTAAGGAAGCGGATTTCTGCATTGTCACACAATCTCTAATTTTGTTTGCCACATGCTGTGCTAACCTAAGCTTTCAACGTCACTGCATCCGCCTTCCACAACCACCACAGGAAACCCCCAGAATGTAAGAACCTCAGCAGCATCATTTCACCACGGCAAAGCCGTGACCCACCAGTCGCTAATCAAACTTCCAGTCCATCAGATCACGGATACCTTACCCTCCCTAATCATCGGCTCGACTATTTCGTCCACAGCCTCCCGCGTCCAGGCTCGTGAACACCGTCACTGCTACCCCCATCTTCCTGACCGCCTGCGCACGCACCCGGATCTCCGGCGTGAGTTCCTAGCACGTCTACGAGAGATTGGGCAACGCAGGCGACGTAAGGTTGTCAGCGTACCCGCCGTAGGTGTCGTCAACCCACACGCAGAACTCCTCCCAGTCTTTCTGGAAAATCTTCAAGCCTTGTTTCTTCTCCGCCGCACTCAAGCAACTGTGCTCGATGCTCCATTGGGCAAGCTGCTTCCATCCGTGGATCGTCACCCGGGTATCGCCTACCATGACTTGATAGAACTCATACGACAGGGATGAGCTGTCGTGTGTGGCGCCCCTATCATCGCCACATAGTCAGCCTTCGATTTCGGAAACAGAGAGAAAAGCATGGAGTCCCACCTGTATAGCCCAGGGTTGTCGGCATTCAGCGTGCAATGCAGTCCCGCAGCCAGCAATGCCGGGAAAGGATGCTCGCGTATGTTGCCGCACAAATGCAGGAGCTCGTTTGAGATGGGACACAATTCGAGGCAAATGTTCTGCTTCTTGTACTGTTCGACCAGCAGGGGATGCTTGAGCAAAGCATACCCGTGCCCTATACGCTTGCAGTTCAGCAACAGTGCATCGTAAAGATTGCTGTTGTCTGGGTTGAAGGAGCCGCCGGTATCGAGCAGCGACTCTCCGGCGTGGAACATGAACGGTATGCTGATCTTGAGGCTTTTGCATGTCTCTGCGAACCCTACGAGTAAGTCCGCATAGAAGCCGATTGAGTTGG